TTTCTCAGAAAAGGGATGTTACACTATAGTATCATTTTTTTATAATTTCTTTCTTATTTAGAAAGTAGTGTCAATTTGAAAGGCGCTGGAAATAAATTGCATGAACAATTTTTTAGTCTAACATTTCATAGTCAAGTGTACTACTGAAAGTCCTCAATGCTGTCGGGGCACAGCTTCAAGTCAAGTCTTTGCTTACAAGAAACTCCCAAGTAATCGCCATTCTCCTGGTTCTAATAAACTCCATGGAACTTCCTAAGTCTTCCTATTGTCCTTCCCAAGAAATGTTGAAAGAAGAAATGATGTTTATTGAATAAGTTTTCTTCCGTTACATTTTAAAACTTGTATTTCCGTAATTTATTTCATGCAACTAATTTTAACCTTCTGTGCCTCTCTCTCTTGCTCTATTCACTCTTGATGAATTATGCACTTTTAGGACAAGTAGGGGTTCATGAAATTTTTGAGACATGAGACAGTGTATCAAGGGATTGTATTTTGGTTATTATTATTAGGATAGTGTTTTCTTCTATTGACCTCCTGTTCCTTTACAAACTTTAAAGTTTGAATGCATGTGAAGGGTGGATCTAAGGAATATCAGACTTGAAATTTTGACATGTGGTTAATTTTGTTTGTAGATTATATTTATTTCACTCTGTTTAATATTTTAAAAGATAATATTTAAAATCTTGTACAAACTCAATAATTTATTATATGACCATAACCATGTCCCACATGACTAGTGCATGGTCTTTTCTGTGGTAATAGTTGAATGTGAAAATGGTTAGAATTTCCAAAAGCTTGGAGTAAGGAATTTTTTAAGGACCTAACCAAATAATGGTTACAATCTTATGTTAGATTGTATGGTTCCCTTTCAGGTTGATGCCTAAAAAACCCATCATCTTGAGCTTCACTTTCTTGGTCACTTGCAGAGTATCCACGATAACAATCAATTTTAGAATTTTGGGCACGGATGGATACATCGCTTACTACATTGCTTGGATTTTCTGCATTGAATTTTCTCTTTAATCTTCCAATTGCCATACTTCTCCCGATAAAATTCATGGAACTTCCCAAGTCTTCCTCTTATATTCATTGTCAAGTCTGCTAGAGAAAGTCCTCAACGTTGTTGAGCAAACACTTCTTGTCGAGTCTTTGCTTGCAATAAACTTCCCAGTAATTGCCATACGCCTTGTTCTCGTAAACTCCCTGGAACTTCCCAAGTCTTTTTATTGCATTCATGGTCAAGTTTACTACAGAAAGTCCTCAATGTTGTTGAGGCACTACTTGTTGTCGAGTCTTTGCTTACAATAAACTTCCAAGTAATTGCCATTCTTCTGGTTCTGATAAACTCCAGGGAGCTTGCCAAGTCTTCCTATTGCCCTTCTCAAGACATGTTAATTAAACAAAAAAAAAAAGTGATGTCTATTGAATGAGTCTTCCTTTATATTTTAAACTTGTATTTCCATACTTTATTTTCTGTAACTTTTGACCTCCTCTACCTCTCTATTCCTTGCTTTGTTCATTTTTGGTGAATTGTGCATTTTTAGGACAAATAGGGGTCCATGAAATTTTTGAGACCTGAGGCAGTGTATCAAGGGATAGTAATTTGCTTATTATTATTGGGATAGTATTTTCTTCTATCGACCTCCTTGTTCCTGTAAGAGCTTTAAATTTGAATGCATGTAAGGGGTAATGGATCTAGGGAATATCATTGGACTTGAAAATTTGACATGTAGTTCATTTTGTTTGTGGATTACGTTTATTCCACACTGTTCAAGATTATGCACAGAACATATTAGCTCAATAGAATTTCATATCAGCAAACTTGTAGCAGTTTTACCTTTTTGGTATGTTGAGTTTTAGCACAACCTGTTGAGGAAAATAATAATATTCAAATAACCATTATCTTTACAGGAAATTTTGATTATTCATAGTTGTGCTCCAACAACAAGGCTTGTCACAAGGATCCAAATTACAGAATAATCTGCAATAACAAGTTAGTTGACCTATTCGCCTCTCGTCAGTCTTGGTTGCTTCCAAGTTCCAACCATGCAGGATTTCCTAGAAATTTTTTTTATACTTCTTTTTTTCTTATATTATGAATGGATGAACTTTTCATTTTTTGTTAAAATAAAACATACATTTCAGAAAATTTTGAAGTTGAATCTGAATTTGTTTAAGATGTTGTTTTCTGTCCTCATCTTGTTGTTCTTATTATTTTTTTAAAGTTGTAGCGATTTACTGAACGTTATGGAGTAGAAATTTGTAACTTTTTTATTTTAGCTTCAGTTGTTTAGGCATTTGATAACAACAACAATAACAACAAACCACAAGAACTAAGACAACAAATAGTTAAGGGACAACCATGCCACATAACCTAATGGTACTCCTTCAACTATTTTCCTTTTTTACTCTCTTAGATTAAAATTTCTGTTAGATGCAGTTATTTTTGTAGAATATCAGACTAAAGTTCAAATTAGATAGAAGACAAATACATGTGCTTAAATTACGGTAACCAAAATGAGTGGAATTTATAATCTATTTATTGACTTTGTTAATTTCAACCAATAAGATCATCTCATGTATATCCATTATGATTTAAATATAGAGAATTACCATAAAATTACATTGGAATTTCGGAGGACAAAGAATGATTGCACCAACTTATGTCAGCGTCAAGAGTGTTGATTTTGTCTTTTGGAGTCTGGATAGAGTGCCTGAGACATTTCCCTAGAAAAGGAGTTAATTGAAATATGTTTTCATAAGACAAACTCGAATTTTTATAACACTTTTAAGCATAGAAATAATTTTGCATTTGCTATATTTTTTTTTTTGTCCCATAAGGTTCAAGCTTATATGATCTTTCCATTCATGAAAGTCCAACCTTACAAGGGGTAGGGAGAGGAAAAATAGAAAAGGAATGAAGAAGTCCAGTGTACGCATTTATGCTGAGAAAAAGAAAAAAATTTGGAACACAAAAACTATATTACCCTAGTGTATAAATAAGGTGGCCTTTGGAAGAAACAGGATGACTAATCTGCAACCTCATCAAATTCCCTTACTAATGAGCAGTCACAAAGGCTGGAATTTTCCAAGATTCATTGCCAATTGGTCGGAATTCTGCCCCGTATATGATAACCTTCCTAACAGATTATTGAATGAAACATTTAAAAATGTCAACATCAGAAGAGTATTAAGTTGTACTTCACCAGTGAGATCTAGTATTTCTAGTGCCCTGAAGTTTTCAAAGGTGGCAGGAATTTGAGTTTCCTCCATAAAATTAGAATACAATAGACAATTAACCAAATTAGCTAGGTTATTGTGAATTTGTGAGATAGAATATATCATATAGAAGAAAATTATCAAACTTTGTTCTTTTAATTTCTTTGATCATTAAACTATAAACTAAGATATTCACAACTTTCTCTCTTAATTGTTATTCTTCCTCCCTTCTGCTATTTCTTTTTCCTACTTTTCATATATAATAGTTTACATGATGTAACCCATCCTATTGGGAAAGGTGATCCTAATGAAAAAAATTGTTGAACGCCCCAAATTGTCTATCGTTTCTTTTATGGTTTTCACTTTTCAAAAACAGAACTGCTCTTTCTGCAGATCAAGACGAGTGAAATTTTGGGGGAAAATTATATCAACAATTTGGCAATTTGTACTTGCTGAAGGATTGAACGTCTTTGTCAGGTGCTCCAGTTTGGATAGGGAAGAAGAAAAGAAGATAAAGATGATGTTGCCATTTAGATCAACATTCAGGGAGAGGTAAATAATCCATTTATGTACTTCGGAAGCATTAATTTGATTACAGAAGTCATCTTAATTAGTACTTGTAATTGCAACAAATCTTCGAGTCATCTCCAGTCCAAATCTTTTCTTCAGATTGACCTACAAAACCCCACAGTTAAATCTTTAGGATAGACACTCCAATACTTAAATCTACAATAATCTGATCTACTCTAAAAGAAAGCAAAAGGAAAGCTCTAGGTCAGTTTCAATTACTTATAAGACTCTTGAGGAGTATGTATAGGCCTCAATAAGATATCCACATGATCTTCTTAGTGGTATAATTAGGATCCAACATGGCCATGTGAGTATCTCGAAAATGGGGATTAGATAAGTGCGGTCTTACTATAGTTATCGTGTAATTGGAAAGACCTCAAAATAGGTTGTACCTCGGTTGACTTGAGAAATTGACCAGTAGTTCTAAAAATATGTTCATAATATGTCTGAAATCATTGATCTCAGGCCTACACTTACAGTACTGAAACTGTGCTTGCCATTAAATTTTATAAAAACAGAGTTGGGCGTTCTAAAGAGCTGCAGTATGCATGCGTATTATACAATCAATTTCTTACACTTGCATCCCTTGAAAACTTTTAACAAAAAGATCAATTTGGGAAGAATATCACTATAGCATCATTTTAGAATAGTGTCAATTTAAAAGGAGCTGGAAATAAATTGCATGAACAATTTTTTAGTCTAACATTTCATAGTCAAGTCTGGCAAAGAAAGTTCTTAATGTTGTTGGGGGCCACATCAAGTCAAGTCTTTGCTTACAATAAAGTTCTGAGTAATTGCATGCCACTCCTCTTGTTCTGTTGAGCTCCATGGAGCTTCCCAAGTCTTCCTATTGCGTTCATAATCAAGTCAACTACAGAAAGTTCCAACTGTTGTTGGGGAACGTTTCAAGTCATGTCTTTGCTTGCAATTAACTTCCAATTAATTGCCATTCCTGTGGGTTATATATAAAATCCATGGAAGTTCCCAAGTCTCTTCCTATTGCATTCATAGTCAAGTTTGCTAGGGAAAGTCCTCAATGTTGTTGGGACACCTCTTCTAATCAAGTTTTTGCGTACAATAAACTTCCTAGTAATTGGGGTCCCTCTGGTTTTGCTAAAGCTCTAGGAAACTTCTCAGTCTTCCTATTACCCTTCCCAGGACATGTTAAAAAAAAGTGATATGTCTATTGAATGAGTTCGGTTTTCTTCCATTACATTACATTTTGAACTTGTATTTCTGTATCTAATTTCATGTAATTTTCCGCCTTCTCTACCTCTCTCCCTTGCTCTATTCACTCTTGATGAATAGTGCAATTTTAGGACAAGCAGTAGTTCATGCAATTGTTGAGACTTGATAGTATATGATTCAATAGTATTTTGCTTATTATGGGATAGTATTTTCTTCTATAGACCTCCTGCTCATGCTTTAAAATTTCACTGCACGTAAAGCAATTCAAGATTATGCGCAGTACATATTAGCTCTATAGAATTTCAAATTTGTAATCAATTGTTTGAAATTTTAACAAGATCAGTAGTGGAAAATAATCATAAACAAAATTATCATTACCTTCACAGGAAATTTTTGTTATTCATACTTGTGCTCTAACATCTCTACTTGGTGAGGACCCAAGTTACAGAATAATCTGCCATAAAAGTTTAGCTGACCTATTTGCCCGTCTTTGTTGCTTCCCACGATGCAAGATATTCGGTAATGCAGTTGATACTTTTTTTTCTTTTCTTATGTTTCGAATGGATGAACTTTCGTTATTTGTTAAAATAATACATTAATATCTTAAAAATTTCGAAGTTGAATCTTAATTTGCAAGGGAGTGGAAAGACTACAAAGACTTCACATATTTTTTTGCTCTCTCCAGCTAACCTAAAAAATGTATGATACAATTGAACTAAACAAAATGACAACAATTTGCATTGGAGTGTGCTAGTAAACTCCAACTGTTTAACAATTAGAAAAAATTACATTGGAAACTCGGAGGGAAAAGAACCATTGCACCAACTTTTGTCAGTGTAAGACTATTGCTTTTGTCCTCTGGAGTCTCGATAGAGTACTTGAAACATTTCCTTATAAAACAAGTTGTTATGACACTTCACAATTAGAATTACAAAAACAAAAAAAGATTAAAAAAAAAAAGAAGACCCTTTTTATGACACTCTTTTTTCTACTGAGATTGTTCAAGCTTACACGATACTTTCTTTCATGAACGTGCATCCTTTTCTTCTACAAGGAGAATTGGTAAAGGGAAAGGCTTAAAAAATAGATCTAAAAATCAAACAAACACATTTATTCTAAAAAAAGAAGAAGAATGGCACATAAAAACGGTAGTAGTAAAGTGTATGTAGTGGCCTTATTTGGGAACAAAAAGGATGACTTCTCTAGAACTTCATCACACTTCTTATCCAGTGGTAGGCCACAAAGACCAGGATTTCCCAAGTAAGAAGATTTATCAAATGCTGCGAATACTCCTTCAAATGGTACCCTGCCTGACAGATTGTTGAAAGAAAGATTAAGAACCGCCAGACTGAAAAGAGATGGTAGTTCTTGGGGTACTTTGCCAGAGAGAATGTTTCTGGAAAGATCTAGGGATCCTAAGTTGCTCATGTTTTCTAAGGTTGCCGGAATTTGACCTGTGAGAAGGTTGTTGGACAGGTTCAGGCTATGAATCATACCCAGTTGTGTCATTTCGAGAGGGATTGTCCCTGTCAATCTGTTGAAGGACATATCTATACCAAGCATGTAGGAGGCAATGCTTCCACTATATGTATATGACTGACCTTTGGTAATGAATTCAAATGTAGTCCAAGGGCGCCATGGAAAGTTGAGACCAAGTGTCTCATCTGTCCAGGAAGTAATATTGTCAATACACTTCGGAATGCCACCGTGAAGATTATTCCTTGAAAGGTCTAAAAGATGCAAACGTCTCATCTGGCATAGTTGCTGTGGTATTTCCCCTTCAAAATTGTTTCCTCCAAGGAGGAGCACTCTTATTTGAGGGAGAACATGCAAGTATGATGAAAGCTCACCTGACATGTCAGTGTCTCGAATGTCAACAAGCAGCAAATCCATGCTCTTTGACAGGCTATGTGGGAAGTTTCCAGTGAAGTGATTTCTGTGAAGATAAAGCCACCTCAACTTAGGCAAGCTGGAATTTTTTGGAAGTGCGTCTCCTGTCAAGTTGTTTCTAGATAATCCCAAATATTCAAAAGAGCTCACATTGCTTGTCATGCCACAAGGGATTTCTCCATGGAATTGATTGCCTGATAGTTCCAGAAACAGAAGCTGTTTCATTCTAACAAAGGATGGAGGAAGCCTGCCGCTAAAATTATTCCAGGAAGCATTTAGATGGAGCAATTCTGGAAAATTGAGACCAATATCTCCAGGAAATGACCCTGATAAAAAATTATCAGAGATGTCAAGTTCACTAAGCTGTGAACTGTTCTGAAAGGACTTAGGAAATGGTCCTATGAAACCATTTCCTCTTAGCTGCAATTCTTTAGAGACATTGTCAATCACCCATGAAGGAATCTCCCCGGCCAATGAATTGTATGATAAATCTAGTGATTTCAAGTGCCTCTGTGAGGAGATGAAGCTGGGGATGATCTTGAGGTTACAAGCAACTAAATTTAGCACGGAGAGATTGAAAGATGGAACCCGAGTTATGGACTCAGTTTCAACTTCCAAGAAATTCCATGATATGTCGAGGTAACTTAACCTCGATAAATTTGCAAAGTGGGAAACTGAAAAAGAAGCATTGAAACTATTATAAGAAAGATCTAGATATTCAAGTGAAGTCATATTTCTCAAGCATGCGTTAATCTTTCCAATGAGAATGTTGTTGGACAAAGAGAGCTCTTTGACATGGAGATTCTCACACAAGCATTTTGGAATGTTACCCTGTAACTTGTTTCTTGACAAATCTAGGAAATGAAGTGAAGGAACTTTCCCTCAACAGAGATGAGAACCAACTTCTATGGTGTTGTCATGGATATCAATCTTCTGAAGCTGCTTAAGTCGCGAAAGCTCTGCAACTTTCATCCATGAAATTAGAATACTAATAATGGTTTATTGGGATTTTTGAGACGGGATAGATGGTATCGATATATATAGAGAGAAAAAATTGAGACTTTACACCTTAAATTTTGTCTATTAAAGAGATAATAATCATCTTAAATCTTGTGTAACATATATCTTTTATCTAACTTAGTTCAATGTTGTTTCAACATTTAAAATAAAATATTAACAAATTTTCCTCTCTAATTTTCTTCTTTTTCTGTTCTACTCTTTTTTATTCTACTCTTTTTTTCCCCACTTTTAACAAATGTTAGTAGCAAGAAGAAATGAAGAACATATAGTTCACAGTGTTTACCGTCAGGTGAAATGAGTGAAGAAATGTAAAACCAAAATGAGAATACTGAAACTGTATTGATTGTATTTTTCTGTACAAGACTTGTGTATATATATATAGCTACAGAAGCATAATTACAGGGATATATTTAGATCCTAGAATTTTGCCTAAGATCATGGAAATGACCG